GACTGCAGACACGGGCAAGTGCGGAGGAGAGTGGCCTCTTTCCACCTGTGGATGTGGAGTGTTGCCAGAGAGGCAGGTGAATGAGGCTTGCCCAGGACCCAGCCAAGGACCAGCCACTGAATCCTTGGTCTCTATGAAGTGAGGCTGAGCCTGCCAGCTTGGCCTACTACACATGGTGGTGGGGTGCAAAGCAGCTAGTAAAGTCTAGAGTATTATGCAAAGAGACAGTTGTCAGAATAACGTGAGTAATTCCTCGGTGCCGAATGCACACTTGGCTGTGCTAAGAGCAGGGTGGATTTGCAAGTCCTTATTCTCACAGGTGGCCTGACCTGATGGAATGAGGAATGCAGCTCAGGGCCCAGACAGAGACCCACACTCTTTTTCCATAATTACATAAATGCCAGAAGTAAAGCTCTGATGCTTGAAGTGATTCAGTGACCAGGCTGGTATCCAGTGCTGACGGCCTGTACATTCTTCTGGATTTTGTGTGGGCTGCAATTGCATTTATTTTAGAGATGTTTGAGAGACGCATTTATGTTCTAGCTGTTAGATCTTTTGCTTTCCTAAGCAGATGGAGGAGGGGACAGAAGGTCACACAGGGAGGGCCATGCCCTGGGCACGGCTGAGGAGTGGAAGGTACAGTCTCGCTGTGGGGGTTTCTTGTGCTGGTGATGCTTTGCCGTTCAGTCCTTCATGATGAAATTCTAGACATTTTGGGCAGTTTTAACGGGGAGAACTTTGGGGCAGCTTGAGAGGAGAGCTTTTTGGCATCCTGGAAACGTGCTGTCCAGAGGTTTCCCTTTCCACAGATGATGCGTAACACACGTGCGCTTGAGCGAGGCCCGTGAAAGCCTTTGCATTGCTTTCCTGCCCTGGAGTGTGAGGGCGTCACCGCACACCCTACCTAGACAGGCTTAAGCTCTGCCTGACCTGGGGGAGCACTGCTCTTCTCTGCTCTTATTCTTCCCCAGGCCAGGCAGGTTCCAGCTAACCTTGTCCAGCAGACAGTGTGGCTGCTTTCCTGCCCGTGAATGTGAAGAGCTGGTTTTTCCAGCAAGTAAGACTTTGGTGTGGGGCTGCCCTACGCTCCCCTCTCAGCGTGTTCTAGTAGCTTGTTGCATGTAATCGCTCACTTGAGTGGCTTTCAATGCAGCCTGAAGGTGTGCTGTCCAAACCATTCCCTTTCCGTCTTGACTACCACCATCTCACCCCAAATCCGATGGCCTCAGGGTGCCTCCTGGCACTGCATGCCAGCCAGAGTCTCATCACCTGGCTGAGTGTGGAGGAGCACGGCCAGGCCTCTGAAGGGTGGGGGCCAGGTCCAGGGGCACGGGCTGGGCGGGGATGCAGAAGGCAGGGAACTGATGGAGCTGCACAGGGCGGGGCCAGAGGCAGGAGGTGGGGCTCCAATGTCTCCAGAGCCTAGGAGGGACTTAGGAGGTTCCTGCCTGGGGAGAGCCAGACCCTGGAAACACGACTCTTCCTATCCAGGCAGGTTTTGGCAGGTCATCTTCCCAGCACTGCTCGGTGGTTAAAGGAACATTTTAAACCCGTGCAGACCTGTGCTCCACATTAAATGTAGAATCCTAAGTGGCTTCACTGCCTGGGCCTCGTTCTAGTCCACAGCTGTAAAATGCCAGTGATGCCAGTGCTGAAGGGCTGTGTGAGGCTTCAGCAAGGTGTGCATGGATGGGGTGGGGTGTCGGGCAGGGCATAGCTCTGGCTCTGGGGGTGCTTATTTGGGGGTGCATCAGAGCTTCCAAGCACAGCAGGGCCCCTCACGGTGCTGAGGTGGGAGAGGGAGGGTCTCACTGCATGGGCCTCCTTCCCTCTCTCTCCCCCGTGTGTCACCCCTTCTCGTCTCTCCATTTCTGCTGATTGGACCGTGGGGACTCTTCTCCCTCAGAAACCCTGCCTGGGCTCCTGCTGGTGCCGGGTGTGCTTGGGCCTCCCTCGTGGGTCCTGATCCCACGTCCTCCCCGATTTCCTCCTGAAACCCAAAAATTACTTCCCAATGTGCTTTCCAGACTCAAATGACCCCACCCCACCTGCTCCACCAGGACTCTCCTCAAAGAAAACAACTTTAGGGAAAAAATGAAGCTGTTTTAAATATAAAAGGCCAGGGCACAGTAGGCTCTTATTAAAATACAGAGCGATTAACAAGGTCTCATTCCCCTCAATTATTAACAATGTACTTGTTCTTCAGAAAAGTACCCATGAAAATTTAAAACAGATGAAAATGGTTGTTCACTTAAAACCGCTCAGTTAATCTGTGAGCAATGTTTTATTCAGTGCATTAAATGAACAGCACGACGTCAGACACCTGCTGACCCATCACTCCAGGGCCCGGGCCGGCATGTGGATGGAGAGAGAGGGAGAAGACCAGGCACGAGACTGTGGAGAGCCACACCACCAGAAATCCCTGCCCGATTCACCGTCCAGCCCACACCTGTGGATGCACAGGGAGTTGCAGGCAGGGCTCCCACGGCGGACTCAGGAACAGGCAGGGCAGCTGCTGCCTCGCCAGGTGAAGGGACCAGGATGGGGAGGCAGAGAGGCCTGTCCAGCCCCTGTGGCTGTTACCATGGGTGCCTCCTCACTGCCCAGTGCGGCCTCGCCTCAGCTTCATAAATAGGGAAGGGGTCCTAAGAGTTTTCACATCCAGGCTCAGGCAGAGGGGAGGCAGGCGGGAGCGCCCGCTGATTTTTCAGACCTCCCAGGGAGGCCGAGGAAATGGCCTGCCCTGGAGCAGGTGCAGTTCTGTCTTCAACTGGACGCTGGAGGGTTGGGCTGTGTGGGATACTGGTCCCTGCTGCTTCTAGGAGGATACACCGTCCGGGGTTGCACAGGTTGGCTGTGTTTTTTGGATGCTTGATATTTTGTTTTTTCTTCTCTTCACTCTGTCATGAAACTGGCAATAGTAGGTGGTAAATAAATATGTGTTATAGATGAATATTTGCTGTGAGTAAATTAATAAAGGAGTGAATAAATGAACAAGTGACGTAGGGCCTGTCCTGTCTCAGGGACCCCCGCAAAGGCCTGCACACTGGCCAGAGCCTGCCTTCCTGCCAGGGCATTGGGATGCCCCTCTCGAAGCTGCGGGACTCTGGAGGCTGCGGGACCCTCGAGGCTGCGGGACTCTCCAGGCTGCGGGACTCTCGAAGCTGCGGGACTCTCGAGGCTGCGGGACCCTCCAGGCTGCGGGACCCTGGAGGCTGCGGGACCCTCGAGGCTGCGGGACCCTCGAGGCTGCGGGACTCTGGAGGCTGCGGGACCCTCGAGGCTGCAGGATTCAGCCACTGATCCCACTGAGGAGTCCCAGTCTCAGAAAACTGAGCAGCTGCTTCTGCAGGCCCTGCATCCTCCCCTCCCTGGAGAAAGGGAAGCTCTGGCTGAGTCCTGGGACTGAACCCTTGGGTGCCACGGAAGCTTTGCTGCCTGTCAGTCACGCGGCGGGAGAAACAGACCTGGGGAGGAGGCTGGTTTTCTGCACAGCGACTTGCTCCTTAGCCTGGTGCCGTTTACCTCCAAATCCCCTGAAGGTTGACCCCCGGGTGAAGACGTGGAGGCGAGTTTTGGGGGGATAGAGCGGGCTTGGTGGGATGCTGGCACCTTAGCAGGCTGTGCCCAAGGTGCCCCGTGTCTGCGGCTCAGCTCTCGGGCTACGTGCACAGGAGTATGTTGTGAGGGCATTTGGGTGTGGGTGGGGCGGGGAAAGGGAGCCGGGGCTGTCTCCTTTAATGGGTATCTGCCACATGTGATTGTGAGGGAGGAGGAAGTAGAGGAAGAAGAAACCTCCCTGGGAGGTGCGTCATCCTGAGGAAGGCTGAACAACGAGGGCCTTGGAGAGTCCATTCAGAAGCACAGTCTTGCAGAGTGGGCAAAAACAATAGAGCTTCTTGAGGCTGCACGGGCGTTCGTGCAATCACCAGCGCCTGCTGTGAGTGGCCTACGTACTGTCAGGGAAGAGAGGCCGTGACGCCGGATGATGGACTCCAAGTCAACTATAAGATTAAGCAAAATTAAAACAAATTAAAACAAATTAAAACAAAGTAGGAAATCAAGAGCAGCTGCTGTGACGGCCTTGCGGAGATGACGTTAGCTTTGGGAACTGGACAAGTGCGCCCTTGAGCTGCACCTGCACCCAGAGGCTGAGCCGGCGCACGGGCCTCGCAGAGGGACTGGCCTGGGCTTGTAGAGCGGCACAATGGCCCCGGGCCTGGAGGAGCAAGGGTGGGAAGGGGGCAGGCCAGCTCCTGCCAGGCTGGAGAAGGAGTCGGACCTCATGCCACCTGTGCCTGGGTGACTGTGAACATGTAACAAATGTGATCTTATTTATGTTTTGAAAAAGGCAACACAAGCCAACACGAGCCCTGTGAGGACCAGGTGACAGCCGCCCAAAAGCCGACACGGGGAACAAGCCTGGAGCAGCCAGGACGGGTGCTGCGACGGAGGGTGTGCAGCCAGGCCCGCGGTCGGACCTGGTCAGATCAGAGGAGAGAGGGCTGCCAGACTGTGGACGAAAATTAGAAGCTGGAAAGGGGCAGAGAACAGGAGGCTGCTGCTCTCCATCTTTCCCAAAGTCACTCCAGGGAGAGGACATCAGTTACTGAAATGACAGACTCTCCATTTCACATTTTTCCCCACGTGCAGAGTGCAGGGAAGCAGATGGGCTAAATTTCGAGAGCCAGGGTTATTAATGTACACTTTACATAGTAAACTTTCCCCTTTTAAGTGTGCAGGCCTGAGGTTTGCCAAATACGTGTAGGCATTTAACCACCACCAGGGTCACGATGTAGAATATTTCCACCATCGAAACGTTTGCTTGTGTCCCTTGACGGTCATGCCCCATTCCCCAGCCCCGGCCCCTGGAAACGGCTGTCTGCTTTATGTTCCAGTAGTTCTATCTTTTCCAGACTGTCACGTGAATGGAATCAGATGCACGAAATCCCATGGTATGGGGTCTTCTAAGTCTAGCTGCTTTTATTTAGTGTGATGCATTTGACATTAATCCATGACTCAGGCATCAGGAGTTTATTTCTTTTTCCGCTGAGTAGTATTTTGTTGTATGGATATATTGCAATTTGTCTATCATTCACCTGTTGATGTACGTTTGGGATTTTTGGCAATTATGAATAAAGCTGCTATAAACAGACATGGATTTTATGTAGACACATGCCTTAATTTCTGTTGAGTAAATAACAAGGCATGAGATTTCTGGGCCACAGGGTAAATGTGTGTTTCACTTTATAAGAAACTGACAAGCTGTTTCCAAAGAGGTTGCTGCATTTTGCGTTCTCATCAGCAGTGTGTGAACGTTTTAGCTGTTCTGCGTCCTTTCCAGCACCTGGAGCACCCATTTAAAAGGCTTCAACCACTCTAAATAGGTGTGCAGGACTGGACTTAAATGTAAATTTGAGAGGCATCAGTATGTGTGTGTGTGCCTTTCACATCTCCACAGTCACCGGCCACATGCGCTCATAAGGGATGAATACGCACAGCAGCTGGGAAAGGTCTGAGCAAAGGGCCGTGGGCAGGGCACCCAGCTAGACAGAAAGAAATCAAGGCGTGTGCTCTACGGTCCAACCAAGAAAAGATTTTGAAAAGAGAGAGTAAGCTACCGGCCAGTTGTTGCTGAATGGCTGCATGTGATAAAGCGTGACGACTGAGCACTGGATTTACAAAGATGGTGGTTTTTGCTGTCCTTGACAAGAGCAGTTTTAGGGTTGCAGCAGTGATGAGACCCGCATGAGACGGAGTTCAGGAGGGCAGGGACTTGGGTGATAGGACTGGCCCCTCATCCAAGATAGGGCAGTGGAGTCTGCAGGCTGCGTCTCCAATTTTCTCCTTTCTCCTTAGTAATAGAAATCTAAATTTATTTAGGACGGCAATGTGCACAGATAGAAAGACTACATTTTCTAGCTCTCTGGAAAGGCTACGCCTGGACAAGCTGATGACACTTGTTGAGCGGACTTCCATGAAAACTCAGTGAGATAAGGGAGGTGACAGTTGGCAATGGTCCACTTGCCTTTCCCTGTCCTCCTTCCTGCAATTGGGGGGACATACTGACGGCAGACAGTGGTGATCATGGGACCTTCAGCTTGGAAGACCTTGATGATGCAAGCCAGCTTGAGGATGGCAGAGAAGAAAGACGGGAGCTATTGAGCTCCCTGATGGTTCCACTAAGCTGCCAAGTCAGCCTCCAGCCTGCTCCTCCTTAAACCCATATGTGGCTGAGCAAATGCACTTAAGCCTATTAGCTGTTGAACAAACCTAACTGACACAGACTGTAAGCCTCAATATTAATGCATCAATTCTCTCATTAATCTATAAATTTAATTTGATTTCCAAATATATACAGAAATAGCATGTTTTGGATTTAGTCAAGCTGTTGCTAAAATTCACATAGAAAAACGAGCAAGTAAGAATTGTTCAAGAAATTCCAAAACAGAGGTGTATTAGCGGGTGATGAGAGCTATAGCTGTAATATTTTAAGCTATAATAAATAAAGCAGTGTGGTGCTGGTGCATGGATAGGGAATCCGGTCAGGAGAACAGAATATAGAGTCCGAAAATAGAACCAGTTGCAGGAGGAAACTGAAAGTTGAATGATGAATCTTTCTCAGATGTTCTTAAATAGTGGGGAGAAGACGGGTTATTCGATGAGCAGTGTTAGGACCATAAAGCAGTGATCTGAGAAAATTACTGGCCCATAACCAGGCTAGTAATGGGGATCTCCAACTGAGATATAGTCCAAATGAATCAAAGATTTAAAGGTCAAAAAAACACAAAGATATATTACTAGAAGAATTAAAACATAGGAGAGTTATTCATAGTCTCAGGGTAGTAAAGACCTATGACAGTGAACAAACAAATAAACAAAGAAACCCCAGAAATCATAAAGTAAAGGCTTGATAAGTTTGACTACCTAAAAAATTCTGCAGGACAATATCCACCCATAAGCAAAACCAAATAATAAACGACAAACTGGGAAACAGGTTTGGAACTGTGATCACAGAATGAGGTCAATTTCTTTAACACGTAAAGAACTCCTACAAAACAAGACCAAAAATTCAAAATAAAAATAGGCAAAGGTTCACAGAGACAATTCCTAGTAAAGGAAATACAAACAGCTCTTAAGTGTGAAGAGATGTTCGTCTTCACTGAGATGAAGAGAAATACAAGCTAAAACTCCCTGGAGATGCCCCTTTCTCGCCCAACAGATCCTCAGAATCGGAAGCTGGTGACACTGCGCTGGCCGTGGTTTGCACACGCAGGCCTTGTAATACTTTGCTGATTAGCGTGTAGCCTGGCGGAACCGAGGGGCTGTTCCAAAAACTCCCTGATGTCAGAGCATCGCTGCCCAGCGTGCTAACCGCCTTCGCGTGTTGTCCTGAGAGACAGGGTCTCCATCTCTTCTTCCCAGATGAGGACGGTGAGGCTCAGAGAGGCCGGGGACAGTTAACTGGGGCTAAATCGGGAACGAACTCAAGCCATGGTATCCAAAAACCAGTGGAAGGATGAGTGGAAGAATGAAGAGCACCCTCGGCCTGTCTTCCTCCTTTCTCCTCTCTCTTTGTTCTGCCTTCTCTCCCCTGCAAATGAACACAGAGTA